TTTCCTGGCTTAGCCCATCCCATTCCTCTACCTCCCATCTCTTCAGCAAAATGAGCTGAATGTTCTCCAAAGCACTGAGGAAGCACAATGTCTAAGAGTGTCTGCCACATATTAAGTGTCCCCTGACTACAGCTGTGATAGAACACCTGCTCTGCTTTGTGCATGTGCGTGTGCGTGTGTGTGTGTGTGTGTGTGTGTGTGTCCTGGGGCAAGTGAGTTACCTTCTCTGATCACCTCACTTGTTTTCCTGTAACACACAAGGTATCTGGCCTCACCAGACCACCTGAGCTCTGGGGTAGGTAGGCACGTCTCAGCATGATGATGCTAGGGCTTACTCGCTCCCTGACCCTGTCCTTTCTCAGGGGTCCAGACCATCTTCCTTCTCTAAGGTAAAACCCTTCACCCAAGTAAATGTTCACTTTGGTATCAGTTGCCTGCTCAGTCTAGAGGTGGAGAAGCTTCTGCCTTCCAGGACTCACTCTGCTTCAGCAAAGGCCCACCCCTACCATCAAAACCACATTCCAGCATGTTCTATCCTTCAGAGGGTGAAACCAAGCCTTCAGGCTCAAGAAACATGACAGGCCGGAGACCAATGGAACAGACTAGAGGACCCAGAAATAAAGCCACACATGTACAGTCAGTTGATATTTGACAAAGGAGCCAAAGACATACAGTAGAAGAATCATAACCTCTTCAACTTTTTTTTTTTTGTCGGTCATGGGGCTTGAACTCTGGGCTTGGGTGCTGTCCCTGCACTCTTCAGCTCAAGGCGAATGCACTACTGCTTGAGCCACAGCGCCACTTCTGGTTTTCTAGTGGTTTATTGGAGATAAGAGTCTCACTGACTTTCCTGCCCGGGCTGGCTTTGAACTGCGATCCTCAGATCTCTCAGCCTCCTGAGTAGCTAGGATTATAGGCGTGAGCCACCAGCACCAACCTCTTCAACTAGTGGTGCTGGGAAAACTGTGTGGCCACATGCAGAAAAATGAAAGTGGAACCTAGCCAATCACCATGCACTAACATCAACTCAAAATGGATTAAAGACCTTAACATCAAACTTGATATTCTGAAACTACTGAAGGACAGAATACGAGAGACACTTGAACTTATAGGCACAGGCAGGAACTTCCTGAACAGAGTCCCAAGGTCACAACAAATTGGAGACACTGGTCAAATGAGACTACCTTAAAATAAAAAGTTTCTGCAAAGACAAAGAAATACCAACCAGACTAGAAAGACAGCTAACTAATTGGGAAAACATATTTACCTGCAAAATATCAGACAAGGGGCTAATATCCATTATATACAGGGAACTCAAGAAACTAACCCCTCACAAATCTAACAAACCAATCATGAAATGGGCAAGGGAACTAAAGAGAGACTTCTCAGAAGAAGAGATAAAAATGGCAAAGAAACACATGAGGAAATGTTCATCCCTGGCTGTAAAGGAAATGCGAATAAAAACAACACTGAGATACCACCTTACTCCAGTCAGAATGGCTCAAATCCTAAAGTCAGCCAACCACAAATGCTGGAGGGGATGCAGAGAAAGAGGAACCCTACTGCGTTGCTGGTGGAAATGTATACTAATACAACCACTTTGGAAAACAGTCTGGAGATACCTCAGAAAGCTAAATATAGATCTCCCTTATGACCCAGCCAAACACTCCTAGGCATCTACCCTGAGCAACAGGAACGAGTATACAAAGACCTATGCACCTCCATTTTTTTTTTTTTTGTCGGTCGTGGGCTTGAACTCTGGGCCTGGGCGCTGTCCCTCAGCTCTTCAGCTCAAAGCAAGCGCTCTACCACTTGAGCTACAGCGCCACTTCCGGTTTTCTGGTGGTTTATTGGAGATAGGAGTCTCACGGTCTCTCCTG